TGACAGGAGTCCCTAATGCTGCTGTGCACAGGCAGCATTAGGAGCCCTGTCACATTCAAGCGTGCCCTGTGGATGTGACAGGGCTCCTAATGCTGTCTGTGCACAGCAGCGTTAAAGTCCCCTGTCACGTCAAAACTGACTGTCCCACTAGATTACGCAGCTGAGGCTGAATTCTGTGCAGCCTGGCTTTCCTGACTGTTTTGGGGGCAACATTTTTGCCCCCCTCCCCCCGGAAAGTACCGCCCAAGCAAACGCCTTGTTTGCCTCGCAGCCGATATGCCCCTGCCTATCACGAGGTATTGTATTTAGCAGTGTTTATTAGTTAGCTTACTAGTTTTACATATCTTTTATACAGCAGTTAAGAAGGGGGCTGGCCCTGTGAAGAAGCCTGCAAAAGCCCTTGAAAAAACAGTGGAAGCTCCAAAAGCTGCTGCAGAAGAACCTGTGAAAGAGCCTGAACAGCCCCCTGCATCTCCACCACCAGCTGAAGCTCCACCAGCTCCGGAGGAACCTGCAACACCAACTCCAGATGAGGCTCCAAAGGAGGAAGAAAAAGGTAAAGAAGCCTAAATAACCTACTTGGTTTAGCAGACAAAAGTGATATACTTTACAAATTCAGCCAGGAAATGTTAGTTTATTGGGAGTCAGTGAGTAAAACATTTAAGGTCACAATATTATTTTGTATGTGTATAGAAACACATGATACACAAAATAATGCAAAATATCTTTACTGTCTTATTTTATTTTACTATGGTATGAGTTTTTAAAAAGTATCTGAATGTTGTTTTGTACTGTCACTGTCATTTTTTCTTGTGACCCGTCAATAAACATGTTTCTATATCTAAATGTACGGTTGTAAATTGTATGTTTTTTGCATGTACTTTGTTTTGTTTGTTGTCAGAATTGTCCTTGCTTATGTCAACGTGCTGTGACTGTTATATGTATGTATATCTGGCTTTTTGTGCTTGATGTGAAGGATGGTCTGATCCTAAATATATTTAATCCATACAAGCACATGTTGCTGACCTGACATTTATCATGCAAACAAAACATACGGGTGGACATTTGTTAATTTGGTCACATAGTCATTCTAGTGTATATAGCAATAGATTTATTATCATAGTTCATGTTTCGTTCCTTCAGAAGGAAAATTGTCTCTAAATTGCCTCTGCCTTTAAATTTTCACATGCTTGCTGGGAACTGCCTGGAGGACAGTTGAATAGCCTAGAAGTGCTTAGCTGACTTGAGGGTATGAAGCTGTATTATCTCTGCAATACTTTAGGAAGAAGAGCACTTCTAGAATCTGTGACAGTTTGGGAGGTCTTTTAATGTCACAAATGCTGGATGCAATTACTGTGCAGTTGAGAATTTATGTGAAATATTGCAAAACATGTGAGTGAGTTGCAACAGAGCACTATGCCCAGTTACCCCACTGTTGATCGAGAGGAAGGCATAGTTCAATTTGCTCCAACAGGGGAACATAATTCCTTCCTGAGCTCATAAGGCAATTGGATATTCCCTGGATCAACAATCTCTGGTGCTTAATATACGTATAAGAACTCAATATCCAGTAATATTCTGTGCATTTAGGAATATATCCAGATGTTTTGTTTTTTTTTAAACAGTTAACTGAGCTAGCTAGAACTAGCTCCTTTGGGAGTCTATCCCACATTTTTACAGCTCTAACTGTGAAGAATAATTAAGAGACATAATCCTGCCCCTGTACAATTCATTAGTAAGACCTCATCTGGAATATGCAGTTCAGTTGTCATCAACAGTTCACAAAAAGGATGTTGTGGAACTGGAGAAACTGCAGAGAAGGGCAACTAAACTCACAAAAGGCATGGAGGAACTCAGCTATGAGGAAAGATTAACTGCACTGAATTGGTTCTCTCTGGAGAAGAGGTGATTAAGGGTGGACATGATCATATAAATACACATACAGTGATCTTGGTGCCAAATTATTCACTTTAAGGTCACTGCAAAGGGCAAGGGGGGACTCTTTGTGTCTGGAGCAAAGTATTTTGCTTTCTTTAGAAACTGTGGCTTGACATTGCATGCTATTATTCAGTTTATGGTCTACCAGAAAACCCAGATTTTTCATTGACTCCCCCACACATACTCCCCCTAGAGTGCATAACTTTACATTTATCAACATTAAATCTAATTTGCCAAATAGATGCCCAATCACACAATGCATTCAGATCTGCTTGTAAGTTGGAGACATCCTGTAAGGACTGTATTCCACTACATAACTTGGTGTCATCTGCAACATAGAAATAGTACTTTAAATCCCCAATTATATGTCATTTATAAATAGATTAAACAGTAAGGGGCCCAACACTGAACCTTGGGGGACACCACTAACAGCCTCAGACCATTAGTATAAATAATTGATCACCACTCTCTGAATACGGTCTTTAAGCCAGTTTTCTATCCAATTACAGATGGAATGCTCTATACCTACTGACCTTAACTTATACATTAGCCGCCTGGGGGGAACTGTGTCAAACGTTTTGCAAAGTCCAAGTATACTATATATATATATATTTACAGCCATTCCTCTGTCCAATTTAGTACTCGCGTCCTCATGAAAAGAAAGTAGATATTTTGACAACTTCTGTCTTTTGTGAATCCATGCTGACTATTGCTTATAATATTATTTTCAAGCAAAAACAAGTGCATGTGATCCTTGATCAAACTTTCAAGTATCTTCACAACTATTGAAGTTAAGCGTACAGGTCTGTAATTACTTGGTAAAGACTTTGATCCCTAAATATAGGCACAACATTGACCTTGTACTTAGTCTGGAAAAAATGGTATCGGCGCATCCCTAACATATATATATATATATATATATATATATACATATATATAAATCCTAGGAGCCCTGTATGCTCCTTAAAAATGACAGCTGCCTCCCAACTTTTGAGTTTTTCTCTAGTCCAGCCTTGGAGCTGGAAAAATATCTGTAGTTGTACTTGTACCAAGTACAGTACTTGGTATCTGAACATCCCTAGTCTTTGTGACTAAGTATGTTGTTGCAAACACGTTAATAAATTTCCTCCACAGAATGCATGATTATCAACTTCATAAGTGAATGTGCTCATCTTCTGACCAGATTTTCCAGCATCCAAATAAGTAAATTTCAGATAGACTGGGGAGTCCTATGCTCCCTATAAGCTGGGTACTTAAAGACCTTTTTAAATCAAATTACTTGAGCCCAATAACTGAATTATTTACCAGTAGTCTGTAGCAGGTTAATAGGACTGTGTCTGTCTGTCTGATTTTTGCAATTGATGTGGTCTCTGTGTGTTAATATATGTTTATGATGCACAATTAGTAGGCAAGTTATATTTTTGTGGATTCATTTCATTATTGAACAACTACAGTGCTCTTGGTCAATCCAAAATGTTAATAAACCTTAAACCTGAATATTTAGGAAAGTAAAAGTGAGGTTTTGGCTATCTTAAGAGAAGAACTATGTGTGCACAATTATTGGGCAACTATTAGTGTGCACAATTATTAAGCAACTTAATGGGAAAACGAAAATGTTCCCATCTCACTTGTTTATTTTCATCTTTTAAAGTATGAACAATAAACAAACAACTCAAAATTTGCAAATAAACATTTCTGACATTTTCAAAAACAAAATCAGTGACCAATATAGCCACCCTTCTTTTCAATAAAAGTCATAAGCCTTTCATCCATGGAGTCTGTCAGTTTCTTCATCTGTTGACGATCAACTTTTTGTGCAGCACCAGCCATAGTCTCCCAGACACTGTTCAGAGAGGTGACTGTTTTCCTTCACTGTAAATCTCCTATTTAAGAAGGGCCCACAAATTCTCAATAGAGTTTAGGTCACGTGAGGAAGGGGCCATGTCATTATTCTTTCATCTTTAAGGCCTTTCCTGTAGTACTTTAATGCATGTGATGGAGCATTGTCCTGCATGAATATCGTGGTCTTCTTGAAAGTTGCAGACTTTTTCCTGTACCACTGCTTGAAGAAAGTGTCTTCTAAAAAAAGGCAGTGGGTTTGGGAGTTGATTTTGAGTCCATCTTCCATCCAAAAAGGTCCAACTAGCTCATTTTAAATAAAACCAGTCTATACCAGTACCCCACCTCCACCTTACTGGTGCCGGAGTCCAAATGGAGCTCTTTGCTCGTTACTGCGTTACTGTCAGGCCACGGGCCCATTCATCTGGTCCATCAAGAGTCGCTCTCATCTTATCAGTGCATAAGACCTTTGAAAAATCTTTCTTCAGATATTTCTTGGCCCAGTCTTGATGTTTCAACTTATGTGTCTTGTGGTGGTCGGGTTTCAGCCTTTCCTTACCTTGGCCATGTCTTTGAGCACTGAACACCTTGTACTTCTGGGCACTCCTGGTAGGTTGCAGCTCTGGAATATGACAGCATTGGAGGATGATGGGTTCCTGGAAGCTTCTCTTTGGCAGTCATTTGCATCTTTCTCTACACATTTTGTGCGACCAATTTGACTATTTGCAACAAAATGTTTGATAGTTCTGTGATCATGCCCCTATATCTTAGCCATTTCAAGAGTGCTGCATCTCTCTGAAAGCTTTTTTACAATTTTAGACTTTTCAGAGTCAGTTAAATCTCTTTTTTGGCCCATTTTGCCTGAGGAGAAGAAGCTGACTAATCATTATGCACGCCTTGATACCTTAGGTGATGTTGATCACCTAAGGCCACACCCTCCCTCCTTGCACAAATACATATCACCTGTTAAGCCTAAATCTAATAACCATTCAAGTTTATATAGCTTGGAGTTGGACAATATGCATAAAAATGGTGATTTGGTCAAAATACTAACTTGCCTATTAATTGTGCACACAGTGTAGATGTAAATGTATTTTGGAATCAATATCTAGTTTATTGGTAAATAAAAGCTATTCCGCTTGTGTCATTCCAATGGTTTGTGTTTTAGGAATTTCTTTAGGATTTCCCCTCATTTAAAGTTTGAATACTAAGACAGGAAATAAGAGATAATCTCAGTTGCAGAAAACTGTTTTGTGATGGCGTACCATAGGCTTTGCTGCATCATAGCACTTTTCACTTTATTAGTAAGAAATCCCACATAATTAAATTATGTTACGTTATGTTAATGTAAACTTGTCAGAACTAAATCCCTGACCCACCTTCCCTTGGGTCCCTTCCTTCACTACATATACTGACCTCGTCTTCAAAGTTGTCTCAGAAAGCGCTACCATTCACTGAAATGTATGGCAACTACGAATGACACCTCCCCCCCTCATATGACAGCACTAGGGCTTAGCAACTGCCTATTCATGCCCCAAGTGCTACCTTGTGGGGAGACAAATTATCTTTTTGTTCTGAGAGGTTTAGTTTAAAAGAGAATTGCAAGCAAATATATAAAAGCACCAATCTAGGTGGGTTTACAAAAGGAGATAAATCATTAAGCAGCCATACTGTGCTGATATTCACTAGTAATCCAGGGAAACGAGTAGGAGGCAGACTTAATGAAAGTATACGATATAGCTTCAGGGCCGCCAACTTGGGCAAGTCTCATCTGCCGAGTGTGTCCTGGGCTGTCCTCACCAGTGTAAAATATGCGGTCTCTCTATGAAAATGTAACCGCCTCTGAGAATGTTTGGCATTCAATAGCCATTTATTGTACTACAGTATCAATCATGGACAAGCAGCCCACTCCACTCTCCTCTCGAGTAATAATCAACAGCAGAGTGCAATAAATGGCTATTTAATACCAGACTTTTGTGTATGATGCAGCTCTCAGTTTTTATACTTCTTACAGAAGCAGGAGGCAGAACTGTAGGATCTGTGCTAGCATAGGAATTAATGGGTTAAAGTAATAATGGAATGACAGTAAAAGGAGTAAAAAAGTTTGACATCTATATCAATTCCTATATGTGTGCTTCAATTGTGTATGCAGTCGCTTGACTAGGATTTAGTGTGCTATGTTAAATCTGAGATGTCGCCTGCAAAGCATGTTTTTAAGAATGTGTTGTACACAAGTATATGTGACTGTTAGTGTCTTAGGGATATTCCAGTTGTACTTTATTTCTCTGTGTTATAAATGTTAAATGATATAAAATGCTATGTTTGATTTTACTGCATGAAAATATGTATTGTTTTATTTCTCTGTGATCTTAGATGTCTGTGGTTGGCTCTATGTTCATGTTTGCATGCTCGATTTTTCAAACGCTCATCATCTGTCATCGAAGGACCAAGCTTCTTGCCGGTTTAGAAGGTGCAGTTGAAGAGCCATTTTGCATGGGGCATGAGAGGTCATTGGAAAACCCCAACCGAAAACATCGCCATGTCAGGAAACCAGCTGGCTTGTCAGTGTCATGGAGCCTTGATAATTGCACAGTTATATTTCACAGTTGGTGTAACGCACGGTACACATCTGGATAAAAAAATGTCAATGCCAGCCTCTATTCTCTACATATTTCTGAGTTTCCATTTTAATCTTTTGACTTGCAGAGTCTTACGATGAAGATTTGCAGGAGATGGGTAAGTCTTCCAACAGAAGTGGTTTGACAGTAATTCAAGATTGGTACAGCAGAAACATTCCTTATATCAAGAAGACTGGACTAGTTACAACTAGATGTTCTGTGAACTGCAAGCTGTGAGCTGCAAGCCTAACAAATACCATGCACACTGATATTTTACACTTGGCAGAAAAATCAAGTATCATCAGTAAATAAATCAATGGGGCCAATTGATTAATATATTTAGCATTACTACATTTTGGCACGTGAAAATCGTCATTTTTTTACAGCTCCGTGGTGTCAATTATGATGAAATACAACATAGTTTTTTTTATTTATTCATATATGTTCATTTTCATTTGATTTGCAGAGGACTATTTTCAGGAAATGTCATCATCATATGGTAAGTTCATCACCGTTACACATATTTTTCACAAATTCATATTCATATTTAATTCAGCAGCTGGGTTATGTATTTTCATCTGTACTGATTATGCATTTCCATGGATTCTGTTACCAGAAAGGCAATACACTTTTTTTTGGACACAAGTGCAAAAATATCAAAATACAAACCATTACCAAAACAAACCAACACAGACACAAGTAAGCCACATATTATGTATTGCTCCAAGGGAATGGTACAATACACAATATTTATAACTGAACAGCAACAATACTGGTGCAAAAATCTAAACGAAGATTCAGAAGACAAATTCTATTTCAATGCAGATGAACTGCAAAACAGGACTCTGGGATGAAAGAATATTTGAATTTACACTGAACCACAAACTAAAGTCTAAGTGTATATAAATCTAACTACACACAATGAAGAAATGGATGATCAAAGATGATATTTTTTTAATATACAGTTTATAATCACTTATTCAGTTTAACTCTGGCAGGAACTTTTTCCTTACATTTGTGTAAACTTTTTTGAGCTTCTGTGAATTTGACGGTTCACCACGTTGTAATCAAGCCGTAAGACACAACTATGCACGAAATATTATTATAATAATATGAATTCACAGTGGACACACGGGCAGCTTGAGAAGTAAGCAAGCCTGCTTGAGAAGACTATCTGAAAATCATATTATATACTGCAAAAGGATTTTTTTTGCTATTTATTCACAATGGTTTCCCCCATATATTTATTGTAATATTTCATATCTAAAAGAAATCTATCTTTCTTTTTATTTGTATTATTTACATAGGTTGGAACAATTGTAAATTATATTTGCTCATTGATCAGATGATGATTTATTAAAGATAACCCAAACTCAGATTATAATTTACAGCTACCATCCCAGTCCTACTGGAAAGGATACATAATGAGTAGCAGAAGAACAGCAATATTTACCTATGCTGGTGGAAATGTTGTTTCAGACCACATCTAGTGCTGGTCACATGTCCAAAAGCCTCTGCCTTGGTCCCAACACCTGTTTTGAAGAGGAAGGTCACAGTTGAGAATGGCTGCTCCTTTCCTTCAGCACAGACCATGTAACCACATGTCTGGGCTTATTAACATGTCAGTAATTCATCCCAGCAAGACTCTTACCATAGCTTTATGGTGACATTTGAATATAGGTGTTCTTTAAGTAATGTAAAGACTTTTGATGTCTTTTTCTGATCCCCATTGGGTTTTTAAAGCAAAACATAGGATTTATAAGCTTGTCAATTAATAAACATACTCCCTAAGGATAATTTTTTAATTATACAGTAAACAAGTAGGAGACTATATGAATAGGCTGGACAATACTGAGATCATGTGTCATATTTATTTGTGGTATTGCTAATCAATATAATCAATATTTATTCTCATTGAAGATGCAGATTCTGGACTTGCTGACCTGACTGGGTTATTGGTGCAAAAACCAGAAAGTGTAACGGTGCAAACTGGTATGTATCACCAACTATTTGAAGAATCAATACCACTATCAACATTTTGATAAGATATGTATTTCTAAAGCTGCACTCCAGGGAGATATTTAAGCCAGTTAGTAGCTAAAGAAAATCATTAAATTAATTTTTACATATATATTATAAAAAAAGTATATATAATCCCCTGCAGAGTAGAACTCACTCTGCAAGAGGGAAGGACAGCAATGTAAGCCAATCAGGATCTTCTTATACTCTTACTTTGAAAGCTCACTGAGTGGAGGAGAGAGTAGAGTGAGCATCTCATTATTGTGTTGCTGCTTTTTTTTTTTTAATCACATGCTGGGGTTGGTTCTGGACAGCCCTATTATGCTCATTGAAGTCTGTAGTGATGTCTCAGAAAGTGCAGGATATGGCTGTATTGTTGGATCACAGGAGCAGCTGAACACCATTAAAAATCATTTGAAATGTAAGTTGGTTCCCATATATGTATTTTAACTGTAGTTCAGATTTATTTGAATTTAAAGATACCATATCAGGTCTCTAAAGATTTAAAATCTTTACACATCTACAATAGAAGTTTTATACTCATCTCTTCAGTAGGCTGTTTTTACTACCTCTCCTCCATTCCAGTGCTGAAGTCTCGAAAATCTTCTTCGACATTCGACACTTCCAGGAGTGTTGGATTCCTGTGTCCCGCTCACACTATTTTTTTTCTTCCAACCTCCCTATGTCACTGTAGAACTGTAGGGGCTTAGAGGAGGAACCAGCATGTGGTGGGGGACACAGGCATCTTACACTGTTGGAAGTGTTGAATGCCTAAGTGGCTTTCTAAAGCACAGCACTGGAATGGAGAAGTAGGAGAAATGGGCTAATGAAGAGGAGTATACATTCTCTTCTGTTGCAGGAGAATAAAGTTTTAACATCTTCACAGGGTCAAGATCCTAACAGTTTTTTTTTAAAGTGGACCTGTTAATCACAATAAAAAATCTAACTAATCGTAGATAAGTGTACCAATGCAGGGACGTCCCGAGGCATGGTGTCACCCGGAGTGGCCACCAGGTGACACCCTGCCGTGATGTCATCGCATATGCATGTAACTCATTGTGCTGTTACCTGCTGGAGGCCATCTTGGTGATGGATGCCAGTGCTGGCAGAGAGAGGAGGGGACGATCACCTGGTGGGATAAGGTATGCCGCTGGGTCCCCTCCTCTCTTGTGCAACTGTCAGGCTCTCGGTCCACAACTGAGTGCCTTACTTTTCAGAGGGGGTGACACCAAAATGACTATAAGTCATTTTGGTGTCACCCTCTCCAATGGTGTCCCCCGGGTGCAGGTTGCACCCCCCTAGTGACAGCACTGTACCAATAACAAACATGTAAATGTATGCATATCTGGATTTTCATGGAGTAAATTCATGAAATAATACCTTCCCAAGCACTGTTCAAGGGGATTGATTGCCAGTCATGATGTGTATGCATTTCACATTAAATAAATTATTAACATATTTTTGCAGGAAGAGATTTTGTAGTAAATATCTCTGTCAATGGCAATATTCTCACTGCAAAGCCTCAAGTGAAGTGGTTTAAAGGGAAGTGGCTGGAACTAGGAAGTAAAAGTGGCACTCGTTACAAGTTTGAGCAAAAGTACAATGAAGCAATCAAGGTAAGATGTGACGAAGACTCTCACATTTTTTTTTAGTTTTTCTAGCTAATTTTATTCATAAAAGATATACAGTATACTCCGTATATGCAATATACTAACCTATTTTAGGTGTCCACACAATCTGTAGTCAACTGCAGCCAAGTTTATTTTTTTAAAGTAAAATACTTCTTTCATGTCTTTATTGCTGCCCTTGGCAAGCAGTAAAAATAACCTGCTTAAATAGTATAAAGAATGATCATAAATCTAAACCAAATTAATAAATAGCAGTATATTGCACTTTGCTGATCTTTCCAAATTAAAGTGACACTAAACTCAGGAGTTAAAACTTAAAAATGTATTTAAGTACTCTAACTATTAACAAAAATGTAGCTGTAGATCCTCAAATCTTCTCTGAATTCCGGCTGACACTGCCTTTCCTTATGGAGTGTAGTTACTTTTGTTCCCTTTTTTTTATTTTTGTCCCTAGACCAAACAAGCACTTAACCCTCGCAGTGCAGAGGTAGCCGCACTGCAAGGGTTAATTTTAAAGATACCTGACATTCTTTGTTTTAAAAAAAACAGGCTACCTATTTATTTTAGATAGCAACAAAACACAAACAAAATTAAATAACACAAAAGATAATTTATCAAAAATAGACTGTGCACACTATGGAGCTTTCTAATGCAAAAGTCACCATTTCCCATGAAAGCAATCATTTTTTTTCAATGTCTAATTTTTATCAGATAATTAAACCATCATATGCCATATCACAACCACATGCATTTCCTGTAGCAGGAAGCTTCATTTTAATATTATCTGGAACCTGTGCATGTGTATTTTTAGAAAACAAAACAGGATTTTTAGCGCAAAAATAATTATTATTAATGGAAAGATTTTTCATGTGAACAATCATTTGTACTAAATATATTTTTCTAATCTGGTAGTAATGTGTTTACATGAGACTTTAGTCTCTCTGAACTTTACATTTAATGTACAATAAGTCCAAAAAGGGCAAATTGTGGACAAAATGTGCAAATACCCATGCTCAATGCCGCTTCTCTGTTTTCTACAGCTCTACCATTTTCAGCTAAAAGTTTTCAAAGCAGTTAAAGCTGATAATGGTTCCTATAGATGTGAAGTCATTGCACCTGGCCAATGTGAAAACTGCACGTTCACTGTCTCAGTACAAGGTAAACTTGCATGGCGTGGGGTTACAATTTGAGTCAAATGACAAATGGTGTGCTGATCATCAATCACTTACATGCCCGACTGTCAGCAGCAGCAGAGGCAATAACACAAATGTAATATATGGCAGCTTACCAGCTCTTAGATGTGGTGGCTGTACTAGCTTTCCTTTTTAAACTTCTTTCTTTTATTTTTTCACCTGGTGATCCTGCCAGTACACACTTCCTGCCCTAGTGTTACAAGGCTCACTGGTTGCAGTGTATCTATGGGGGAGCAGTGTTGTCACCCTAGGACAGAAGGTGTGTTTAAAGGAGAACTATGAGGTGAGTGCGTTTCACTCACCTCATAGTTCTAGCTGACCTGTGACAATTAGACTGTCACAGGTCGGCTCAGTAGATCGGGAAGTGAGCGAACACATACCGGCGTTTGCTCACTTCTCGACCCTGTCACAGCTCTCCGCCGTGACAGGGGAGGGGCTGGATTCCCCCCTCCCCGCTCCGATCCGCCAGCGCTGACTGGTGGAATGGACGGGGGCGGGTACAGCTGGCTCTGCCTATCGAGAGGCAGAGCCAGCTGTCACTCACGCAGCTGGGCGGATCCAGACATAATTGTCGGGATCCGCTTCAGCTGCGGCGTCTCAGTATACCGCGAGCTGTAGCTCGCGGTATACTGAGCTTAGGGTGACGGGAGGACGCTAGTTTGTGTCCTCCTGTTACCCTAAGGAGAACAATGGGGAACAGCCTTAACCCCATAGTTCTCCTTTAAAGTGACACTAAACTCAGGAATTAATTCTTAAAAATGCATTCAAGTACCTTAACTAGTGTAGCGCTATCCCCGCAAGGGCCGCTGTAATAAATGGGTCTTCTATCCCACACCAGTGATGACTCACCCTCACCCGGATCCAAGTGACATCAACACACCGTTTAAAACGTTTAAATGGGCTTCATCAAAAACTAGCAATAAGCCCTGGAAAGAGATAAACTGGTTAACAGGATCGACAATTTTAAAAGCAATTATACAATACAACCGCTCAGCAAAGTAAACAGGATTGTTGTTCGTTCACTTTAGGCACCAGTGAGAGGCCTTGCCTGAAATGAACTGAATGAGTGGTGAACGAAACTGTTAATTGCACAATACAGAAATACTGTTCAACAAGGATCTCTCACCATTAGATGCACTTTATATATCTTTCTTCCAGCAACTGGTAGCTTAACCCCTTCATGACTGAGCTTGTTTTTAGTTTCTGTTCGTAAATGACTGACACACTTTTGACATTTTTGCTGTGTGATTCTTCCACGTCAGTAATATACTTTCTTACAAAGTGCACCCACACATATTATATATTGTTTTTTAGAGGACAGATAGGGCTACATATTTATATCACATATGTGTGTCTAACGCTTCACTTAGGACAAATAAAATATAAAGAAAGAGAAAAAAACACTTTTTTCCCAGTTTTGATTTGTAGTATTTTTTTTACAACACCAGCACAGCTAAAAAAATGCAATAAATACATTCATTTATTTGTCCCTTATTTTATTTTTTACACACATTTTTTTTACACTTTTCACAATTTTTTTTTTTTTTACACTTTTCAAATTTTTTTTTTTTTTTACACTTTTCACTTTTTTTTAAACTTAAAAATTGTATTTTATTTATTTAATTATATCAAGCAGTCATTGTGAATTAATCTCACTGTTACTGCTTGATAAATTAATACATTTTTGGTTATTATCAGGCTGCTTCAAACTTCAGAACAGCCGATAATAAGTTAGTGACACTGATCCTGCAGCAGTTCAGGATTCAGCTGTCACTATAGGTTTTCTGATTGTTGCAACAACGATCAGCAAACTGAAACATTCTTCTTCCAGGAATAGATACATTATAGGAATAGACACATTATGTATCTATTCATGAAAGAAAAAAAGAAAAAAAAGCCAGTATAGCTTGAGAGAGATATCTCTCTCGATCTATACGAGCTGTCAGAATGCCGGCAAAAGCCGGCATGTGTGTCCGCTCTGCTTTGACTCTCAGACACCCGATATTAAGGTATCGGGTGTCTGAAAAAGGTTAACCCTTTCATTAATGAATGCCTCTGTAGTAAGGGCATCCATTAATGAATGTTAAAAGCTGATTCTCAGCGGTTAACAGCCCTCTAAAGCAGCAAATAACTCATCACGTACAGTGTACGTGACAAGTCATTTGGTCCCTTTGTGGCTGGACGTACAGTGTACGTCTCCCGTCACAAAGGGGTTAATAGCAGTCTCAGCCGACAGAATCCACCAAACAGGATGATGATGCTGACTGCAGTACAGAAATCCACCTCTAGATGTCACTGCACTGATAGCACATCTACAGACATCAGGCAAAGTGTAGCATAGCATATTGAAAACTCCCCTCTTAAGCCTGCATCTCCCTTTAGAAGTCTCCACAGGAATCACAGACTCTGGCAATGCACAGGAGACAAACACAAGACACACTTTCCCCTGTCTGGCAGCAGCATACCAGTCTGTGTCTCTCTCCCTGTGTCCTCCTATCTCCCCTCAGTCTGCTGTCCTTGTGGTGTGTGTGGAGCAAAAAACGGCCTGGCAGCCAATCACAACTCTTCTGGGCTGCTATCCAATCAAGTCCTTCCTTGCATTTGTTGTTAGGTGTGGGCTTCCTTCTTAGCTACAGCAGTAACCAATCCAAGACCAATCCTGCAGCTGTAACCAATAGAGTCTCTCCTTCAGTCTCTGTAAGCTATCAGTCTAGCCAGAAAATGCAATGCAGTGTTTCAGAGAGCAATACTCTGCATATATTACAGAAGCAATACTAAGCCTGTGCTATACTAGTAACAAAATATAGCTTATTTGTGTATCACTTGGCTTTAGATCCACAAATCATCTCTGAATGTGTGCTGACAGTGTCCTTCCATCTGGAGGATGGCTACTTTTGTTCCCCTTGGTCTCTGTGTGTGTTGTAAAGTAGCCACTGCTCCAAGCTCACTCCCGTGGTGGGTTACAATCTCAGGAGTGAGCTTAGAGTAGTAGCTACTTAAATTACACGCAGGGACCACAGGGAACAATAGTAGCCACCCTCCAGAAGGAAGGACAGTGTCAGCACAAATTGAGAGATGATTTGTTGATCTAGAGCTGAGTGATACATAAATAAGGTTAATTTGTGTTAATAGTTAAGGTACTTGAATGTATTTTTAAGATTTGACTCCTGAGTTTAGTGTCACTTTAAGTAAGGGATTTGTTTTCTGATAATATAGAACACTGACAGTGCAGCATAATTTGTGCCACAATCACAGTCAAAAACTACTTAGTAGAGACAGAGGCACTTGAATTGGGTGGGACTTGAACAAAATTAAATACCCTGCCACTACCAGTGAGCAATGAAAAACCTTTCATAGAAATGAAAAGAATATAGTGTACAGAGCCATCCGTACACTGTGGGAATTCCCTTCCCTAATCCAACAGGACTACCATGAACCTGGGAAAAGTATACTGTTATCCTAATAGTATGGTAAAGCTCAGATGCATATGTGGCTTTTCCAAATGAAATAGCAATATCTGGTGCAGGGCTATCACAACCATTGCATGTCACTTTTTATGCTGAAACCGTTACAAGTTGCTAAAGTTTAGTAAAAGTTATTCAATGCTCCTCCAGTGTCTTATCCTTTTTGTTCTGTACTACCCAGCAACACTAAAAGTCTATGCATTACATGAATACAGTAGTACATTGGTAACCCCATAGCAATTCTGGAGGCCAAGTTCACAAAGAGTACTGGCCACATTATATTTAACATAGCTTTTTGAGGCTTGGCAGCCAAGAGGAACTGTCCCCAGGCCACAAACACTCATACAGCCAAGTGCATTTGCCAGTATTATCAACTCAGGCTAGGTAAGCAGTAGGGATGAGCTTCGCGTTCGAGTCAAACCTATGTTCGACTCGAACATAGCATGTTCGAGCGTTCGCCGAACGCCGAACATTATGGGATGTCTGGCCAGAGATTGGATCACTGGCCAGAACTTAGCTAATATGCCATGGAGCTACTGGGCTGGCCTTCATCCAGTGTGCTTTCTGAAAGGACGTTCAGTGCTGCTGGAGGTTTTGTCACAGACAAAAGAGTGCGTCTGCCCACAGACTCTGTAGACCGGCTGACATTTATTAAGATGAATCAGTCCTGGATCAGCAGCAGCTATCACTCCCCTGATGCTGATGTTACTGAATAGATCGGGTATCTCTGCATTCGAAACACTTCCTAGGCTGCCTACGCTGGTGGGAGATTATTATGCATTCTTCAACTTAGATTCTCTGTGTCGTGCACCACCGACTGAGACACAATTTTTCCGCACTTACATGTGACAGGTGTATACCATTTCAATATTTGACCGCAGGGTCCAACCCTGCACTCTTCTGGGAATACCTCTGGAGGGTTACGGTGTGAAGGCACTAGCTGGCACCAAAGGCCCAATATTTGGGTGCACTGACCGGTGTACCGGATGCATACCATTTCATATTTGACCGCTGTCCAACCCTGCACTCTTCTGGAATACCTCTAGAAGGGTTACGCGGTGTGAAGGCACTAGCTGGCACCAAAGGCCCAATATTTGGGTGCACTGACCGGTGTACCGGATGCATACCATTTCAATATTTGATCGCAGGGTCCAACCCTGCACTCTTCTGGAATACCTCTGGAGGGTTACGGTGTGAAGGCACTAGCTGGCACCAAAGGCCCAATATTTGGGTGCACTGACCGGTGTACCGGATGCATACCATTTCAATATTTGATCGCAGGGTCCAACCCTGCACTCTTCTGGAATACCTCTGGAGGGTTACGGTGTGAAGGCACTAGCTGGCACCAAAGGCCCATTTTTGAAGCACCTTTTGTTACTTTCATCCAAAGCCTGCAAAAGAGGCACCATAAGTTATCCAAAAAAATCACTAAACTTGTTCCGAGTGTCCCAAAATGTGTCCTCTTCATACAGGCTGTTGCCTTAAGCAGTTGTTTAATAGA